AGAAAATAAATACAGTCAAAATTGTAAAAGAGTTTAAAAATTATTATCAATGTGCAAAAATTAAACATTTTTTATAATTCATGATCCTTGATCAGATGCCTATGGGGTCCTCCAAGGCTCCTTAACTCCTAGAGTAGGAGGTCTTACCTATTTAGATGCTGAGGTAAAGTGTGGTGGTGTACGCCTGTAATCCTAGCACTTGGGAGGCTGAGGTAGGAGGATCACTGCAAGTTTGAGGCCAGCCTGAGCTACATAGTGAGCTCAAGGCCAGCCTGTACTACATAGCAAGATCTTGTCTCAAAAAGCCAAAAAAAATTTTTTTTAATTACAGTAAAAGACATAATGCCATTATAGTCTCTTGAAATTCTCCCCTTATTTTGAACATAATTATTCTCTTGTTTTTGTGACCTTCTGAAACAGTTCTGGAAGCCCTCTTTTGTGACTCTCTTTAGTTGTACTGTCATAGCTCCCTTAATATCTTGAATTAGTTAAAATTTTAAAAAATTTTCATAGGCATTTTGACTCCAGGCAAGGTGGAAGAAGACACACCATAATATTCTCACAAACCTGTCTTTCTATTGGATGACACCTGCCAGCGACAGTCACCACATTTTTGATTGTAGTTTGTTAAGATGGTCATGAAAGAGGACTTCTAGAACTGCTTCAGAAAGTGACAAGAATAATAGAAAAAGTGTGTGTGAAGCGAGAGGGAATATTCTGAGGGGGAACGTACTGTAAAACATTTTAAAAATGTACACACTGTCAGTGTTTGTCTATAAATCCTCGTATTTAAGAAAAGTAGACAGATGAATCCATGGATTGTTTCATCTGTACTTTCCTTGGATGAATTTATAAATTCTTTCATTCATTGCTTCAGATTTGGTGGGTTTATTGTGAGAACAGATATCTTTCTCTAAGTGCCAAGCCAATTTCCCTTATAGTTATTTAAATTCATCACCCCTCAGCACCCTGATTAGCAATGATGACCTCTATATAATGCACCCTGGTGTTTAGTAATGCATTGTGTAATCTCCAGAAGCTGTACTTTTTTTGCATAATTTAGAGAGTTCCTGTTTAGGGTTAAAATAGCAAATTACTTTCTTTAGTGAGATGCCTTCATCTAATAAAAATGTAGCTAGTTTTTCTTAGTAAACTTTGAACTGTAATTGTGGTATCTTTTTGAATGTTTCATATGTGCCATGCTGAAAAATGTGTATCTCATTCAAGACAAAACTATTGTCTTCTGCATCTAATTTTTTCTGATAAATTTATTTTAAAAGCAGAGAGAGAGAAGAAATAGAAGGTCAAGGGAGGATCTTGAAAGGCCATCTCTTTCTTCAGGCAGGACTGTATCTGAAGGATTGTGAACAGATAAATATATATCCTACAGATGGAGATAGAATTTTTTCCTCTAAGGGAATCTTAAATATAGTTCAGTCAGGTCATTTGCATGAGTCATTTCCATTGATTTCCATGAACAATTCCTAGGTCTCTATTCTTCATATAACCCTTGACTTAACGAAACCTCTCTCCCTCTCTTTCCCTTACTTATGATTCATTCCATTCATATGGGAATATGCCCATGCGAGGCATTATGAAATCCCTGAGAAATAAAAATGCAGTCTTATTCCAAAAAATATGACAGCCTGCCGCAGAAGCTAAAGCATGGACCTACAGGTTAAATAACTATGCATGATGTGTTTAAAAGACATTGTACAAAGAAAGAGTTAATGAAAGGCAATAATACATAAGGTGATGAAAGAGGAGGCAATTGTGATACTTAGATATTTCAGGCCTCTTGTGTGCTGTATGCTTCCTCTTAATTCTCTCTCTCCTTTCTGTCTTTTGGGTACTGGGGATTGTAAACAGGGATGCTCTACCACTGAGCTACATCCCAGGCCTTTTTATTTTTTATTTTAAGGTAAGATGTCACTAAGTTGTTCAGGCTGGCCTGGAACTTGTGATCCTCCTGCCTCAGCCTCCCTTTTCATTCTCAACAAATTTTACCCCCATACTGTATATGTGATTGCAAAACTGAACTCAGTAGTCAAACTGACTTGGGGATATAGCTCAGTGGCATAAGTGCCTGCTTGGCAAGTGCAAGGTCCTGAGTTCGATCCCTCGTACCAAAAACAAAACAAACAAACAAAAAAAGTAGTCAAACTGACTCAGCCTCATTAATTCAACCACATTCATGGATCTCACTGCACTATCTGGGACAAGCTGCCGCGGAAGGAAGGAACTGACCAGTTCCAGAAGGAAGGAGACATTGTTAGGTTCGTTTATCACACGACTACTCTGAGCCAGGTACCGGCTAGGTCCATCCTCCAGTTTTGTAAATGAGGAAATTGAAGCACAGAGAGGCTGATTAAGGAGAAGACAACCAGGTAAGGAAGAAAAGAGCGCGAACAGTTAGGCAGTGAAGCCAGAGTCCAGACCTGCGCTTGGAGACTGGCTCAGAAACCAGCCCACTGCTGTCATTCACAGTTTGCTCTGACGTCCACTTGGTTACTCCTTAACCTTTCTTTGGGTTTGACTCACATACTGCCTTCTTCCTGAGATCTTTCCTAACCACTTTATTTAAGACTATGACCACACCCTTAGCACTACTATTTCCTCTCCTTGGAATCTGTTTTTTCCATGACATCTAACTTACTTCATATTTAATGTATTCATTCACTGCTTTCTATTGTCTACTTCCTGCCTATTTTAATTGCTTGTTTGCCTCCTAAGAACAGCCTTTTGTTCCTTTTCTTACTGCGTCCACTGCTCTATCGCAAGCCCTAGAACTGTGCTGACAGTGTCGCGGGCTGCCTGTAGCACTTGCTGAGTGAACGCTGAGCAAAGAGATTAAGATCTCCACAAATCTGGGCTGGGGATTTAGCTCAGCAGCAAAAGCGCCTGCCTGGCAAGTGCAAGGTCGTGGGTTCGGTTCCTGGTACCGGAGAAAAACCAAAAGATCTCCACAAATCCCTGACTCCAGGACTGCTGTGTCAAGTGAGTCAGAGGTGTGTTCTCCCAGAAGCTCTCCCTGGAACTGCTGGAGGCCCTTACTATGCCATACTGCCCCTCAGATGTTCTGGGAGCCTCCAGGCTCCTGGGCAGGTATTTTTCACTAGAGTGCTCTTTACCTCCCTAAACTCTACAAAGCACACATAGCCCTTTCTCCACCTTTGTGAGGTGAAGCATCAGGTTGATTTTTCCATCAGTTGCTTCCACATCGGTGAAGATTCTCTCCCACACCAAATTTTCATCAGACTCCTTTGAGGCCCTCCTCTTGTCTAGACCTCAACCTTGGCCTATGGAGCACAATTTTGGCAAAGACTCCCATTCAGTCAGTTCAGTAAGAATTCTCCCACTCAGAGAAGGGTTTTATCCACTGACACCACCACCCTTGCCTCAGTTTCTTGCTTGGCTCTAAAATCTCCAGCTGTCTGTGCTGTATTTATCCCAAGTTGAACCCCACCTCTCTCATCTCGTACAGCAGCCTTGAGCGATGTCTTTCTTGTTATGTTTGACAATGTCCTATGCAACTTTTCCTTTCATAGCAATTTTACTTCATTTTTTCTTCTTTGAAAAATATTTATTTCTAGGTTTCTTTGCCTAGTCAGTTATTTAAGAGCATCCCTGTGGACATTTCTGTGCTCATTACACCAAGAGGTAATGATATACTTACTTATTTTTGCCTCTCCAGTAAAATCTTTGGTTTCTGATTAACTAAATATGTTTAAACCTAAGACTCTACCATAAAAATATTTAACACACAAGAGCTACCGTGTACATTCTGCTTTATCAATCCCATATGCTTATTTTATTTTCTCAGCCTACTTTACAAACATAGATTTATGGTTGCTATTTTGGCTTTCTTTCTGTATCTAAGATAGAGGTGCCTGTTTTGTAAGGTCATAATTGCAAAAGAATACAAAGATATTAAGAGAGAGAGAGACAGAGAGAGAGACAGAGAGAGAGAGAGACAGAGCTGAGTAGAAGGGTGGTTCCTCCTACATGTTCTCCTCATGAACATATCAAAGAGACTTGAAATTTGTTGCCCTGGTGATGTACTATTAACATGAGAAAAGTTGGTTAGGATTACTCTATGACTTTTGGAGATAGTTTTTGAAATCATTAGATAATCAAATAAAGTTCTTCCATGTGCTTTTGGTGTGGCTATTATGCCAGGAGAAGAATAGCACAGTAGAAATCAAAACTGCAAAGAAAATAATACATTGAGTTAACGTCTAGGTTCTGCCTGATCGGATTGGATGTTGTGTACAATGGTAAACATACCTCAAGTAGGCCAAGAAGTTCAAGGTCAGAGTAACAACCTCTTCTCAGTTATTATTTCTTTGCTTATGTCATTCAGGCTCTTGGCAAAAAGCAAACTTTACTTGAAATTTCCTAGCCACAGAGGCATCAACTCAAGGCTTTTTTTTGATAGTTTACTTTTTTTCTCTAATATCAATTTAGAAAAAGAAACCCAGGGAGTATGTTTATGAATCCTTTAATCAATTAGATATACTCTTGACATTGAGCAATTAACATAGAATTCCTGAATGCTAAATATGTAGTTCTGAATAAAATATTGCAGAGGTTTTGGGTTTCACAACTGTTGAAGTTTTCTACAATTATTTCCATGTGTCCTACTGATGAATCAATCTATAATTATTTCATAGTTTCATTAAATACATTTTTTTCTTTTCACAGTTTGGTTTTTGCATTACATTTGTGCATCTCCTCATCCCTCATAAAATCTTCTATTTCCCAGAGGAGCTCATGAATGAAGAAGAAGACAAAAGAGTGAAGTGTTGAGTACAGGGTGAGCTGGACAAAATCCCAAAACTCTTCTCGCAGGAAGGAGTCACAGGGTGGAGTACACAGTAGGAGGAAAATGTTGCTGAATCACATGGGGACTAGAGTTCCTGCAGTGAGACCAGGAAACCCTGGCACATAGAAAAGAGCTTGTGTTCAAGTTTTTTCTAGAAGTAAATGAGTTTCTAGAATTAGCGAATTGATTCAACACATTTATTGAATGTCCTTACGTAGTCATCATTTTCTCCCCTTATGAATCAGAGATAGGGCAGTGAGTTCATGTTGCATGGAGCTTACATTGCAGCTGTGGGCGGGGAGTGAAGACCAACATCCCTCAGATAAGCCGACACACATACTTGATGATTTCTGATGATTTCACCAAGGAAGATTATGATTTTGTCATGAGGTTATAATTGAGACAGCTAAAAGCAAAACAAAGGGGGAGCATTCCAGGTAGATGCAACAGAGTGTGCAAAAATGTAAATAGCAGACAAAGGTGGCTTTTATCTTTTCTTCGTCAGCCTCAAAGGCTCTAGAATTTGTGGCAGAAATGCTGATGTCACTGTGAGGGCAGAACCCCATAGTCACTTGGTGTTGCAAATCTGAAGAAACACAAGTCCCTAAGGATTCCCCAACTGACAAAAAGGAGGGAGATTCAACAGTAGGATAGTTCAGCTGATGTCTCCATTTGTCAGCTCAGGCTCTACCCTCTGCTAGAACAACCCCACCTTTAGGCATGGCTGTACGTACAGTCCCCATGGAAATGCTGTGTGGAAGAGTTTGTGTAACCTCTACAAATAACTCCTAGAAATGATTCCATAATTACACTAAGCTTAAGTGGCTGCCAACATCTGAAGACAGTTCTGCTATGGTTCAGAGAATGAGGAATCCTGAGAGTAGAGGTGGATGATGTCACTAAACATCAGCAGTGCATAGGACAGTCCCCACAACAAGTGGCCCTGTTTCAGGTTTTGAATCACAGCATTGGTAGTTCTCACCAGCATGAAGTTAACCCTCCACAGCAGTCTCCATTGTTGTCAGAGTACAGAGTGGCCTTTGAGTTTCTGAAGGTTCAAATCCAATCTCTGTGACTCACAACATGTGTGTCAGACCACGGGCAAGTCATTTAACATTCTGTGTCTTCATTTCCTTTTCTGTAATGTGAAAGTTGTAATTGTTCCAGCCTCATAGAATTATTTTGAGGCAGAGGTGAATTATACATTTGGTTATTAACAAGGTCTTGCATACAATGATCACTCAATAAATATTTAAAACATTTTGTTTTGCTGCAAGATCAGAAGAGTAGGGTGGAGATGACCTCCACTGACTCAGTTTCCCTCCTTTATTGGTTAGATGCCACATGTAAGGCATCCCCTGGGGATATGGAGATAGGTGACAGAAAAGAGTGGATAGACATTGTGGAAGTTTTGTCTTTGGGTGCAGCAGCCAGTGTCCTCAGAGAAAAGCAGTTGACACATTTGTCTTTTGCTAGAAAACAGAGCTGATGTTTTAAAGCCTTAGGAAAGCATCTTGGCTACCTGAAATGTACATGCATCATTGCGCCCTTGTCTGCTGCACCTATTGTTGGTACCTGTAGGAGCCTCATTAGACAGTGCAGACACAAGCAACGCTGAGCAAGGAAGAATATTTGAAACTGGCTCACTTCGGACACAGAGGCTGCCTCTGAAGTGTCCTTGTCAGAAAGGTCTGCTTACAGGGACCATCCAAGTGGCAGGTACCTCTTTTTAACACATGGAAGAAGAAAAACTGGTCACAAAGGGCAACAGTGTCCAGGGGCTTTTTCTAGGACCATCAAGAGGCTCTGGTTTTCGTATTGACAGATCAAGTGTCTCAGTTTTTATTAGCATTGTGCCTATGTGACACTTTTTCTGTGATGTTGTCATAGCTAGGAAGAAATAAATCTTCCCTGTGTTTGGATGTTTGTCTTAGACTCCTGCCATCTTTTCAAAGCTTATTGATATGGATCAGTTGAAACCCCATTGTCATGTTTGAACTTTTTCCTCCCTGAGAAGAGTGATTTAAAAGGCTCAACTCTTGCAGGAAAATTCTCTGAGGAAATTGAGCAGAGATATGAAAAATAAATCATCATTTGTTTATAATCAAATTCATCCCTCTCTTAATGCATTTTATCTCGCAAGCTGCCAAATCTAGACTTTGCTTCCTGTTCCTCCTGTGACCTGGACACAAAAGCGTTTCATTCATCCATCCTTTCTGGTGACAGATTCCTTGCCGGGAACTCCCAGCATGCACCACCATCTGTTTGCCTCTCAGCTGCTTGAACCCATCTCCTTCCTAAATTAACGCTAAAATACATCTTCTGAAAGCCTGTGCTTCTTGCTTATCCCTATAGGTGACAACTAACTCCAACCTAATTCTAGGTATCAAGATCTATTCACTGTTTCTAAGAAGAAACAGTAGCAGTGAAACAATAAAATCAAATCTGTGCCAAGGTATATGGCCCACGCCAACTGCTTCCAAATGGAGCCACAATCCAAAAGCAAGTAGGATTTCTGCATCTAATTAGATTATCTGATGTCGGATTGGAGCTGAGGGACACTTTAGAGGCAGATTCTTTTTCTAGTTTCTTCTTCACTGGCTATGGGACTGCCCAGATTGAATTCTCAAGTCTTTTAGGGGAAAAATTTCCTAGAGCAATTCAATATCTGATCTATAATTTTGTTCTATTTGGCCTGTGAGTAAAACTAGCAGTGGAGGTTGGGAATTTCTCATGAACATCTCTTTGAAAACTAGGAAAGTCAAGATTGAAGGAGAGGCAGAAAAAATGGAGAGAAAACCCATCTTAACTTGTATACTTCTTCTCACTGCTTTGATAAAGGGATGAGAGGAAGGACGTGTGGCTACAGGAGCTGGCCTTGAGAAGACATAGTACATTCATTTCTTGGGGTTGCTGTAACAAACTACCACAGACTAGGTGTTTTAATCAACAAAAATACATCATGTCATAGACCAGAGGCCAGAAATCTATGCAAAAGGTGTTGGCAGAATTGTTTCCTCCTGAAACCTGTGAGAGAGACTCTGTCACATGCCCATCCATCTTCTAGGGTCTGGTAGATCATAGTCAGTCTTTAAACATTCATCCTTTGGCTTGGAGATGTTATCATGTCAATTTCTGCCTGGATGTTTTCAAGGCAATGGGAGTCTCCGTGTGTGTGTGTGTGTGTGTGTGTGTGTGTGTGTGTGTGTGTATGTGTGTGTGTGTGTCTTCCTCAGTGTTCGCATTTCCTCTTTTATATTGGATCAGTGTCTATCCTAATGATCTCTTCTCAACTTGATCATCTGCACAGTCCTTATTTCCAACTAAGGTTGTATTCATACTTACTGAAGGTTAGGATACCAACCTGCATTAGCTGGACAGAGTTCAACCCATAACATGAGGATCGGCTGGACTTGGAAAAGGCCGTTGTCTTTCTTCTGCATTCAAACTTGAATATGGAGGAGTTTTCACAGGTGTACAGGTCACAGCATGAATGTCTTTGTTGCTTAGCGTTCCATCAGTGGATCAATTCACACCCTGCTGTCTTCCACATTTGCTTTCCTTGTCACTTTCTCCAAGAGAATGATTATGGGACCTGGAAAAGATCAACAAAATGAAACTTGATTTCAGGCGTGAGAATTTGCTCCAAACATTGTAGGACATGAGAGTGTAGAAAATAGAGTTGGATTTGGATCCTTACTGGCTGATTTACCAGGATCCGCGCACTCCTTGTATGTGTATAAGGCTGCCTGACTTCCTTGTCTGTACAATTTTGCACAATGTTCAAGTGCATACAAGCACACATGCGTGAACACACACACACACACACCACAAAGTACAGTTTCCCAAAGGAAGTCCTTCCATGTGCCCTAAACAATGCTACCTAGTGTTTGACTTTTATTCCTCTTACATATTTGGCAGTGACCTCCTTCACGTCCCTCCTGTTTTACTTTAAATTTTTTATTACCTCTCACTGGCAGATGACTCTGTTCAATGGCCAACCAGCTGTATACCAGCAGCAGAACAAAAAGAAGATAAACTGCTACTGGTTTCCCCCAGAGAAAACCTCCTTTATCTTGAAGAGCTGAATTGCCAGGTGGAGTTGAGTAAACTTTGGGGGTTGCGACAGAGTCGAGGTACAAAGTTCACCACCAACGTAAAACAGCCAGCCCAGTTCTGCTTTTTAATGCCTTCTAAACTGACAGAGCTGAGCAATATAAACAAGGGTGTGGCAATTGCTGCCAGGGAGTACCAGCCAAACTGTAGTGACAACTAATGAGTGAACAACTAGTTTACCATCTTTATATGCAGAATACAATTTTGTTTATATGTCCCCAAAGTTTACTGGGGGATACAGGCCAAGAAGGGAAAAGTTATGTGGAAATTATGAGAGAAGTTGAGTATTTCTTGTTAGGCAAATGATTCATGGGTTTAAAGAATTAGAAAACCCTTTTTGAGAGCAGCAAATTCCACCTTTTTGCTTGCTTAGGTAAGGACGCTCAAACATGGGTAAATTAAATCACTGTATGTTTAATGCAAAGCACAGAGGTATGGGTTCCAGGGTCTAACTTTGTAAGGAAAATAAAACCTAGGTTATATGTTATGAAGGCTCAGAACACACAGTTCCCAGTTCATTTTATGAGTTACCTTCCCTGTTTTGACAAGGGTCACTGAAGCCAATTAGTCACAGAGGAGGGAATAGACATCATTTGTTAGCTCAGTGTCTCACCTCTGCCCGCTGTTATCTCAATGTATGTCGGGCAGATTCTTGAAATCCCCAAACAAACGAACTCTGACAATATCTTTTCAGTTAGTTGTTTCTAGTGTCCCCACCAACAATTTTTACCAGAGCTGCTAATAATTAACCAAAGGGAGTGACTGGATGGAAACTTTTTCAGGCCTCTCCAGAGGAAGCCTTGCCAAAATTGGTGCAGGAGGCAGCCAGAATAAGGAAGCCAGGAGCTTGCAAAAACACCCATGTGCAGTTGAATGTCTTGGCTCTCAGACAGACATAGCTGTGAGACACCAAAGCACTTTCTTCATTTGTGTATTTACAGATTCAGGATCTCATTCAGGGTCCAAATTCACAGCAGTGAGCCAGTGCTCTGGGCTTTCTCAGTGGCATTTACTTAATACATTCATCATTGATTTTTTTTTTTTTTTGGCTGCCTTACCCAAATCACAACCTCTATTTTAATACTAGGTCCTTCTTACAGAGATTCATGCAGTGAATTTGGGAAGAAAATGGAAAGAAATGGAGGAGGAAGTCATGGTGTTTGAGCATAAAACACAGCCTTGTTGATGCTCTATGCATGGCATCTTTTCACAAAGGTTGGCTAGCAAAGATCTACTGAGTTTGACTGACTTTTGCTACTTTCTATAGGTTCCATTAGCCATTTGATTCAGGAGTCAAAGAGAGATTTGAACTGGTTGTGGAAGGGAAGACGTTAATATTTAGGGACAGATTCCAAGTTAACCATAATCCCAAATCCTTTCAAGCATTTTGAGCCTATAACTCTATACCCCACACCCTTTTTTCAAAATGAATCACAATCTTTTCCAGTAGATGTCTTTTTCACTATTTATCACTAACCGCCTTTTGTGCTAAATGAAATTTCCTTGTGCTCAGTTTGACTCTATAGATAACACATATCTTCTGACTACCTACTCTTTCTGTAGTTGTCATCTGAGAAGGCTGCAGGGTACCACGCTGGTTATCAGGGGCAACAAGAATGAGTTAACATAACCATGTTTTTCCTGCTTAATTTTCTTTGCTCAAATATCCTGTATGAGGTTGGCAACAGAGAACCATTTTTTAATTATACTTGTATCTATACTAAAATTTGAACATCAGTTGTGGAGATTTGCCTGTAATGCCAGCAAAATTGTAGAGCTACATCCAGGCATATCATAAAAGAATAACTGACCTATTTAGAATTACTGCTTATTACTCCAAGTTCAGTTCATTTGAATTCTACTGAAAGTTAGGAGTAAAAAAGCAAGGCACAACAGTTTAATTATTTAATGTGAAATGTGATGTAAAAGGGACTAGGGGCCCTCATCCAAGCACAACGCATCTCATTCTTATTAGTGAGAAAGGGTAATGCCTCTGTGAGTTTTCCCTTTGGTGACCTTTAAGAAAAGGCTAAGGCAAAGCTGTAACTCCACGAATTCTTCCTTCCCCTACTGGCCTAAAGGAATTGAGGAAGTCTTATTTCTGCAAATCAGGTCGTGACTCAGAGCCAAACATTTTTAAGGAATAGAATTTCATATGCAGATTGCTTAGCCGAAGACAACTTTATAGTTCCCAGGACAGTTTGGCATGGGTGGGGGTGCTAAGCAGGAGTGTTTGCTGTGAAATTTTATCATATAGAGTATTTCCCCTTTAGAGCTACTTCATATGATTTGCTTTTCTCCATCATATAAACTTATATAACCATAGGATCTCAGCATTGTAAGGGGGCATTCTAAGCCACCCAACATTACAAATGGGCTACATTGTTTGTTTGTTGTGGTTTTTGACACAGGTTTTCGCTATGCAGTTCAGGCTGACCTTGAACTCATTATGTAGGCCAAGGTGGCCTCGAACTCACAGTGGTCTTTCTGCCTGAACCTCCGGAGTGCTGGGATGACAGGTGTGAACCACCACACCTGGCAAAATCTGCTACTTCATACCCTTACTAAATGCTACTTTTTTTCCCCAGCAAGCTACCAGTTGATCTAAGGAAGGTAAGATTCTGTGAATGCCTGGACTCTCATTTCACATCTCACTTCTGTCTTCCTCTGGACTCTGCTTTGCAAGGAGAACTTTCCAGGGGTGTGGCTTTATGCTGGAACACATGGGAACCCACTTTCACCCTACATTTTGGGGGGATGTGATCACAGCAGGGAATTTTTGCTGTGTGGAAGGAGAGTGTCTGAGTGCTTCTTTCTTGCGAGGCACAGCTGGTAGCTCCTTGCTGGCTGGGGTTTGTTTGGAAGTCGCATGATGAAGGGAGTTTCTGCCCATGTTTACTCACTACACATTCAGATCTGACACCCTGACGCCTGTCACAGGAGAACTCAGCGCTGTTTCCCAGTTCTCCTGGCAGAAACGGAAAGTTTATGCCCAGAATGAAAGTTGCTTTCTTTGCAGATGCAGAAGGTTTAGTGTTCATCAGGCATAAGTTAGGATTGTTACTTGTTAAATATTAAATGTATGTAATGATTCAATTTGTACATTATTGAAGATGACCACTTGGCTGATGGATATATCTGAAATATTTCTTAATCAGCACTGCATGGATCAGAGAACAACTTCACTGCACACGGAAGGAAAGCTCCCAGTCACTTTCCACATTACTAAGGTGATATAAATTGCATCATTTTCTTTTACCCCTCTTTGAGTCCCCTGCCTGTAGAAGTCCATTCTCCCCATATTGTATGTGGATGGGCTGTGTGACTCGCTCTGGCCAATGAACTCGCAGTGAAAGCCAGAAGACCTAATGGGTGGCCATCGCTGACATTTGTCATTCTCTCACATGGCGGGGAACGTTCCAGACACAGGTTGATCTGTCGGCTGAGGTTCTGGAGACCACAGCCACAGCTGACACAGAACATGAGCAAGAAATCAAGCTTGATTATTGTTAGCTCCTGAGACCTGAAAACCATTTATTACTGCAATATAACCTAGCTCATCCTGACTAATGCAGACTGTTTACTGAACAAAGGAAAATAAACTATATCCAAATAGCAATTTTGCCATTTAACAGTGACGTGAACTCAGACATTGATAAGGTACTGATGACCTTTACAACTTCAACTTATTTCCTCCTGTTAGAAATGGGTGTAACAGCCTCGTCTTCCTGACCTCGCAGGGTGACCTGGGGCTCAGGCGACATCATTAAAAGCATGACACACTAAAAAGGACTATGTCCTTGTTAAACCCAAGGCCCTAGCAGAGTTGGATTTTTTTCTCTTTTAGTGAGTTGTGTGTACTGGTCTCCACTTCTTGTCAACTTTCTAATAAGTAAATGTTCTGAAGTGTATCATTATTATAAAGTTTGATAAGCAGCGAAGCATAGCTATTCAATATTCTTACCTGAGGACGGCATGTCTAACTATAGGGCACCATTCTTTTTATGCATCTGACTTCAAGGGGAACACACATGGAACAATTCTGAGACAGTGGACCCTCGTGTAGCTATGCCAACCAATCACATTACCTTTTTGGAGTCATCAGAATCTCATGTGCTGTCCAAACTGCTTTCATACTCTGAGAGAACATTATTAATGAAAGAAAATGCTGTTATTCATTTTGCTAGAAAGAATTAGTAGTGTAATGAGCATTAGCTTTAGAATCAGATCAATCTGGCATGTAGCAGTCACTCAGGAAGTATCTGTTGAATAAATGAATGGATCAGTTCAAATCTCACCAATTCCTAGTTATATGTCATTGTACCCAACTTCTCTGAGCTCTTCAGTTTTCTTACTTATAGCAAACCAAGTAATAATCCCTACCTTAGAGACTGTTTTTTTAAAAAGGATTAATGAAATGGAAGTTATACAAGGTTGATCAACGTGCCTGGTAAAGATTGAATAAATGTGAGCCTTCAGTTTATTAGCCTTGTATATCCTGGAGTATGTGGCCAGTGTGCAGAAAAAAGGAATGGACTTTGGGGCTTGCTTGCAGGCTTTGGTAAATGAGGTCACTAGATTCCTTCTGAAAAAAAAAATCAATAGCTTTTTGATAAGACCACACTTCTTTGCCTCAGAAGCAATACCATATGAGTGTGCTGAGGAAAACATTTAAAATGCTTTTGATACACAAAAGCTTCAAGGGTTCTGCCTTGGAATAGCTTTCCTAACAAAAGAAAGGACACTGCCTTCCATTGCCTGGCTCCTCGATTGGCTTTCCATCTCCTCTGAGTTGCACTGGCTTTATCTCCGAGTGGCGCCTGTGTCTGCTTCTTTAATGCCCTCGCAGGTGCTTGAAAGACCCTTCTGCAGGTGTTTCTCAATATCAAACTTAGGAATTTACATGAGCAACAACAAGATGGATGGCAGACTTTTAAATGATCTGCATCCACAAAAGAAGAAGAGAAGAGGCTTTGTTTGGTTGAGTGCCTGTTATTTACCTGG